AAAATCACGTGGTCCGACTTATCGAGAGTCATTTGTTATAATCTGGTCGACAGGATTGTCCGAGTTACGACTTATCGAGCGTCCGACTTATCGAGTTTGCCTATGTATACACATTTCATGAAGGACGGTTCAATATTGAGCGAAACATAATTACGTAAAGTTGTACTAACAATTTCGAACTTTGGTTGTCGAACTTCGATCATAAGACAACTTTGAAAAGTTTTGTTTTAACGTGATTAAGTAACAGCGTTTGAAAAGTCTTAAAATACAAAATTTTTACAGTGTAAGATTAAGAATTGGTCCAAAACGTAAAAATAGTATTATATATTAGACACGTCTTGTATTAATGACTTCACTCAATAAGCATTGTTTGCATCTAATAAAGGGCACAAAATTAGTACGCGTTTGTTTGTTATAAATTAAATCAGTAATCAGATACAAACCCTTGTAGACAGCATGTCTTATTATTATCGAGTTCCTGCTGTTATAACCAACAAAGGAAACCCTACAAAGTATCAATTATATTAATATATTCAATAAATTTATATTTACGTTTTGGATCATTATTTGATCAATTTTAATATTACGCTGTAAAAATTTATAGTTGCGTATTTTAAGACTTTTCAAACGTTTTTACTTACTCACATAAGACACGTTAAAACAAAACTTTTCAAAGTTGTCTTATGATCGAAGTTCGACAACCAAAGTTCGAAATTGTTAGTACAATTTTACGTAATTATGTTTCGCTCAATATTGAACCTTCCTTCATGAAATGTGTATGATATGTCTGTACACAGCTTATATTAACGTACAAACTTATTTTTAAGCTTAATCTTTTGTATTTATAAGATACGATATTGAAAGAGTCAATTATAATCGCGTCAATTTATATGAGAATGTCTGTTACAGTACCTCTTTTGTATAATATCGTCTTCCCTTAAACGATATATGGATATACGAATGCATTAGTGATAGTTTGCAACAATGACCAGTCATAAGTATTAATATAATAACAATGATCGGAATTACAGTTACGTCAAGTTTAAGCTCGAGAGCCTTGAGCTCAAGATACTTTTCAGTAATTGATTTTGCGTGTTCGTTGAGAAATCGAATTTTGAATCGAGGGTACTATTTGGTAGTCACCGATCCCCCCTAAATTTGCAATTAAATGCAAAATATTGAACAATGCAATTACCGTAAAATTAACACTGAATTTAGCGCACCGAGTGTGAACATGTTTACAAAATTGCAGTGTGCTAGCTAGTAATATATTAAATTTTAAATTAATTCTTTGTGTTTCGAAAAGCAAAAATAAATTATACGGCCTGAAAGTTTTATTATAATGCTCTTAGATCGAATTAGAGCGTTAGAAAAAGAACTGCATGATTGTCATTCTCAGCACAATAAGCTTAAAAAGAAGGTTAAGGGAATAGAAAATCGTTAAAACATTATGTAGATGTACTACATGAACGTACAACTAGGGATACTGTAGTTGGCTTAATAAAGAAATGGTTCCCTTGATAACTATAAGGATGGTTGTTCATCCAAAAACTCCAATGATTCGTTACTATTACAAATTACAGTACGAAGAATGCTGGCGAAAAAAATGCGCTGGATGCAATTAAGGTGAGTTTACTTACTTTGCTTGGTTGAAGCTCAGCATTTACTTTCTGAGTCGTAAGCTAATAGACTTTTTCTAGGCGAGTGATATTTGAAGTAAAATGTAAAGATTGCAGAAATTTTGCATGTTATGTAACCAAAGGTCGCGCCATTACTATAGTCAAACCTCGTTATACCGAAGGAATTCTGGCTCCCCCGTTTTTTAAATAGTAAACTTCCCTCGCTATACCGTTACCGAAGTTCGATGCAGGATTTTTACATAGACTACTAATCGCTTTATACCGAAGTTTTATCACGCGATAAAAATTGTAGAATAGTGATTGGTTGTACGTACGTACGATTTTTGGTTGCATCATACGACACGTATACAGTATTAAAAATTTTAATAATATGATTTTAGCTGTCATATTTGTGGGCCAATATATGATTCAGCCCGACTGTTTTTTAATTCAGTCATCATAAGGTGGGATTGCATAGTATTGCAAAGCAAAAACAAACTCTAATAGATTCATTTGTTACTGATTAGTATAATTATTATATTATATTCATGTATTATTGTTTGTAAATTGAAGTAAAGATATTATTCACATAAGTCTCATTATAATGAATATTGCTTGACGCTAGGCCTAACTTCGTTATATAGAGGTACCTCACTATACCGAATCATGAATGCCCCCCCCCCCCCGACACTTCGGTATAACGAGGTTCGACTGTATCTAAATAAACAAATTCTGTTAATAATGCACAATATCATTATAACCGAAAATAAAAAAGGATAACCCTATTTCACTTTTACGATGCACTACTTCAGTAAATGCCGCTTCAGGGTCTCAAGTTTCTTCTGTATTAGCTACGCGTCGGGTCCGGTACAGATCAATATTGAAACTGTCCCCGATTATGTTTGTCGGGATTACTGGAACATATGCAGGTGGAATTGGAGATGGTGGGTCCCAAAATACTTCACTAATAGGAATATTTATCTAAACCCTAGATCGTTCGGTGCATTGCAAAGAGCAAGGTCATTAATATTACGTGTACCAAGAGAATCTCTTGAACTTTCCTAAATCCCACCGTTGTACTGGCGATAAAGACCTAATCAGATAACTCGAGAACCTCACTTGTACCATTTGTGTCAAGGAAGTTGATACGTTGTTGAATGAATAGTTTCCGTATTGAGCCTTGAAACTTGCGATTATTCCAGCATCATATGGCTAGATGACTAATGTCATATTTGGTGCGAAGAAGCGAATAATAATGTTGATGAGTTTATTATCAGGATTGAGCTTATGTACTGGAGCATCGTTGAAGAATTCAGGATTTATCGGTGATTATGTACTCTGAATGGATTGTTTTGTTTTATGTTTATGTGATTTATTTTGATCGTACGAAGAGTGTATGAAGAGGTTTGCATGATTGTCGATTTCCCAGGTCCCAATCAACTGAGTAAGTGGACGTTGATATTTTGTAAATTTATGGCAAGGGTGTATTACTCCGTTTTGTCGACGTCGAGAAGAACGCATGATGCGTAACTGATGCAATAGTCGTTGCCCGCTTTTGTCTTAATATCTATGTTTGGAGAAAGTTCATCTTCATTCCCGCGTTATCAACTTCTTCTTCTTCTTCTTCATTCCAACCGTCATCCGCCAAACAAAGCTCTCGCCTTATCGACTTCTAGTTCTAATGTAACAATATACACATAAATATAATAAATTGTGTATAATGTTTTAAATTTAGCACGCTCTTTAAAACTGGTTAACTTTAACGCGACTTTGATTCAGTAAAAATGTCTAGACTGTGTGGATTTGACGTGATATACAGTACTTGCAATAATTGATGACGTCCTCTCTTATACCATGATCGCCAAATCATAATGTCACAAATTAGATTGCGACAATAATGCATTATAACAAAACACGTTTCCTTTATCGGTATATTCGCTGACCTGAATGTTCGCTATTTATAAAGATGCTTGCCAGCACTTACACGCACTTATACTTGAGGACGTAATTTAAATTCAGATTTTATTTTATGCTACTCTATTTGGGCGACCTAAAAAGGTTTTATTTGCCTAGATCCATATCAACTTTGTTCAATTAATTGTTTCCTTTGTTCTTTTACTTTTCTAACTGATTGTATATAAGCTCCAAGAGGAGTCTCTTCGGGAGATGAATCTTTCAAAAATGCTTTCTGTAGAATGAAGATAAAATTCCTGTAAACAACGGCCGACTTGGAGTAAGGACATTACAAATAAAGTATATATTACCACTTGTGCTCGGTTGTTGGGACTGAATTCTACGTGTAGACGTTTTTGCTGGATATATTTTGCATTTTGCTCAAACTGTTCATTCAAGCAACAAGACGTTTGGTTAATAAAAGGTTATCCGAATTCGCATTCTTATTACTTTGGTCACTAACCTTCTCAACCAAAACATGAAGTTGCTTATTCAGTTTCAAATTCTTCGACTTCTTAATGTGTCTCTTTATCTACAACAAAATCCTTTCAATTATTTGATGCCCAAGACTATGCGACACTTGAGTCTCAACCGCGTCTTATAACATACCTGGACGACGGCCGGAATAGCCAATTCTGGAAATGCTATCGACAAGCATAGTCCTCCATAATACTCTTCCATCACTCTTACCAACTCCTCTATTAATCCATCCTGATATACTCTGGTATGTAAATAACTTTTGGGAGCCTTCAGGTGTACAGAAAAGTCTAAAGGTTTTAACGTTGATGGCTTGGGCTTACGCCGAATCTCGGGCGAGGAAAGAATAGAAAATATGTATGGTGCAAGCGGGATGAATACTCCTGTGCGGCCAGATAGGTGGATCAGAGAATGTAGGCAATGAAAGTGAAGTGGAAAGTATTGTGATGCTGGGACTAGTCTTTTGAGTTATCGTAGAAGAATAAATAAAGCGGCGACATGGAGATGATATGTGGAAAGGGGAGGGGGGGGAGTAAAACAATCGTGAGATGATCTGTCTCTGCTCAAAATAAAAAGATTAATAGTACGGACGATCGATATTGTGGTACCTTATTACTCCGATTGTCACTTGCACCAAAGGATAAATTAATGGTTGCAGAATATTTTCCCCCGACTCTGCAACGCGTTGCTTATCACAATAAGTTGCGAGCACTTGTGACCAGAATTCTATACAGTGAATGAATTGCCAATTATATACTGATTTGTACGATTCCTAAACAAGTATTTAGAGTGTTAGCTCAACGAGGCTGTTTCCTAGTTTCAACCCACAAATTGATTATAGATTCTTACTTGACTCTTTATTGCCATGGAATTTCTCAAGTGTATGGCCAATTGTCGAATGTAAACAAACGCTGTTTGATATGATGTATTTAAATCAATGCCAAAAACCTGAACTCCGCAATTGCGCATGAGATTTATCCCCGGCAAAGTGTGTGTTGTAGTGGTCTGACAATTACGAACAAACGTCATATATATTCCCTTTGGAGGTTAAAAATATTGTCAGTGCTTCCCAAGTCATAAGACAATTTATTTCCAGTAAACCATAAATTACCAGCTACTAGGTCTCAACTTACCTTCAAACAAGTTTCAACAAACGGTTTAGGGGCCGTAGTCACCAGAGTACGCACGTTTAAAAACGAAGCAATTTTCACTTTATCATCTCCAGTTCCCCAGAATTGCAACAACTCTTTCAAATAAGTATTTGACTGTTTAGTAAAACACAAAAGATATGGAATAGTCTTCTCTGTTTCCTTCAATACAAAGTACACCATATCGTTCTCAGAAAGGTTTCTAAGAAGATGGAGAAGGCTAGTGATGTAGGATCGTACGAGAGGTTCGACAGTCTTCCATTTCTTAGCTGTATTGGGGAGATTTCTTATACCAAATAGAATGGAGTTAATATAAGAGAGAGACACGCGGTAACGCTTACAAAACATTCTATTATAAAGATTAGATGTCTTACTTTTTCGTAACAAGATCTTTTGTTTTCAAGTGGTGATCGAACACGTCGCTCACATGTTTCAGGCAAACGACCACAAGGTTGTTGAACACTATGATCAAAATTAATTGAGTTATCTGTTAAAATGATAACAACTCAGTCTTTAGAATAAGAATCAATCTACCAGCAGCACTGGTAACTTTGTAGGCAAATATTTTGGAAGTGTCGTCAGCATCATTGACGTGGGCGGCAGCGCGAAACGCAAGGAGAAGACGTTTGAGAATACGGAGAGATTTTTTCTGTCAAAAAGACTCAAATTAGCATGTGGTGGAAGCAATGCATAGTTTTGTAAAAATACGGACAGGATAGCGCACCTTAATGATGGCGTGCTGCCAACTTGAGACAAGCTCATTGGTTACTATTGAAGGTCCAGTAACTTTCTCTTGATCCTTCAAGCCAGCTTTTTTAAGTGCTTGTGCTTCTTCGTCGTTTGAATCCATCTCCATTCGGTCTTCATTGCTGACACTCTTATCTTCCTCATCATCATCATTTTCCTCCTCCTCATCGTCATCGTCATCGTCGAAATCCTCGTAATCGCCCAGATCGTTTTCATCACTGTCATCAACGTCTTCGATCTCATCATCCTCATCATCATCCTCATCATCAACAACAACATTCCCAACCTCATCATCAATATCATCGTCATCAATATCATCATCGTCACTGTCATAATCCTCTTCAATGCTTTCTTCACCGGATTCGTCAGATAGATCGAATTCGAGCAAACCTTTATCGTTCTTTTGAAGATACTCAAAGAACTCTGGATCTTTTTCTTTCAATGCTTCTAACTGTTGTTTGTGCTGGGAAGCCTCATTTTTGGAGCTTTTCCCCTTCGCTTTTGTTGACCGCTTTTTCATATGGGCTATGATAGATCGAGGATTTCCTGGTAAATCTGCTTATGTTATTACATAATATATAGTATATTCAATATTAATAATTCAGGCTTTCCTTATGAAAGCCACAGGAATGACAAATTATGCCAATACATGTTTTCGCTTGCCTTGGACTTTTTCGAAAATCGAAAAATTTTTGCTCTCCCTACTTTGATAGGAACACTTGTCAGTACATGATTGGACATTTGTCCGTAATACGTACGTTTGTCGTTACGTAAGTGAACAATCACGAGAAAGAATTCAGACGGCGAGTGGGACCAATTCTCCATTGCACTTTTTGATACTTATGTCGGCTAGCGGATTTAGAACTGCGACACCACTGTTTCCAGCGCCAGCTCCTCGGAGAAAGTATCCTTTGGAAATTAAGGCTGGAAGACTGTTTCGCGATGGAGAGACAAATTGGGTTAAACCTGACGAGAAGAAAGGGTGCGTTGTTAGATTTGTTGGCCAAACATAATTGTGTCCTTTGGAATTCCTGCTGATTATTAACTTGCATGAACATTAATGACTGTAGATTGGTATACATGGATCAGGTGTGAAATTTGATTTTTATTCGATTTTTCCAATTGTCTCTCAGTCTGCTAACTATTCTTCCTATTGCAGGGAGAGGATGGATTAATGCACTTTTACTGGAAGGATCGGAAAACTGGCGCTGTTGAACTGGTAACCATATTGACCGTTATCGCCACACACGCAACGTTGAATTTGCATTTGCTTATTCTTTTTACTTGCCGAACATCGACGTATCCAGGATCTCATCGTCATTCCTGAGGAATGCGAGTTCGTCCGAGTGCCACAGTGTACAACAGGACGCGTATTCTTGTTGACTTTCAAATCTAATAAGGAGAATTACTTTTTCTGGGCTCAGAACGCGAAAGATGACAAGGATGAGGAAAATCTTGCCAGAGTAAACCGATTAATTAACGATCCACAAGGGGCCCTGGCGGAGAACAGACAGCAAAGTAGTAGCAGCAGTGCTATGCCGGGTTCATTCCGTCCAATGGATGAGTTTTCCGGCTTGGGAATGGATCAAGATCAGTTATTTCAGATCTTACAGCAGCATGGTGCCTTTGGGTAGGGAGAAGGAAAAACGTGTGATCGTGATTTATTCGGCCGAGTTGGTTTCATTCAAAGTTTATCTTAACATTATCCTAGAGGATTAAATATTCCTGCGACAACAACTGCAACAGAACCACAACCTTCAACGAATATTTTATCCGAAGAGCATTTAACAACGCCTGCTTCCGAACAAGCGGGCATGACATCTGAACAATTGGGCAGTCTCAGAAACATCCTGTCTAGAATACAAGTTCCGGGTAAGATAAGGAAACGCATAACTCTTAGATTTTTTTTTTCCGTCTCTTCTGTTAACAATGCAATAATTCAGTGTTATTTGTTTTGTGTTTGTAACATAGAAGGAGACCATCAACCTGGTAAGTACATTAACCGGTTTACTCTATCTGAATGCCATACTAACTTGGTTTATCTATAGATTTGAATTTGGCGGACATTCTTACACCATCCGCCATTGAGCCATTATTGAATAACCCAGAAATAGCATCAGGTAGTAAACGTTTTATTCAAGAAAAATAAAAAATTCTCTGTTGGCTAATGTTACTTTTTGATAGTATTATTCCCAGAAATTCCCCAAAACATTGAAAGAACACCAGAGGAGTTACGAGAAGTCATGCGAAGTCCGCAGTTCCACCAAGTGCGAAGATAATAGTATTTACAAGCTTTTTTGTATATCTCATTAATGTATATTAATTATATATACTGTTCAAACAGGCTTTACAGACACTCAGTGTTGCCTTGCAATCAGGAGAATTAGGACCACTATTGTCACAACTTGGTCTGGATCCGTCTGCTGGTAACGGTGAGTAATTGGTGTGATCATTTTCCAGTTAGCTTACAACTTGAATACGTACATATATACTGGACTTGCATTTATTTATTCACTACAGGGGTGGAAGCATTTCTTCGTGCTATTCAAGAACAAGTGCAAGGACAAGGTGAAGGAAGTGAGCGATCACGGGATAACAATACAGACCAAGATTATCCGGAAGGCGATAGAATGGATGAAGATTAGACAGAAGGCTTTTCAAAAGATTCACTTTCTTTGACGTGAATACAAAGTGCTTTATAACGATTGGAATGACGCATTTGCATGTGTATTCTATGTGCATTATTGACGAATCATATCAGTAGAACATTATATGCAGATGCCTTTTGTATTAAATTAAATAGCTTGGAACTTTTTTAATGGATCTTTGATTAGAAAATAATATTAGCCAACACCCAATTATCCTCACAAAATAGTTAGTTTACATTCAACTGATTTGATATCCAAAAATCTTCAATATTCTCATGGTGTGCTTTGGAAGCTCACGCAAATAGTTGGGATTATTTTGAACATTTTCTTGCATGACTTGCCGTAATTCTTTTGTATCAGCCTCGAAATATCTAATATTACCATAAATGACAACGTCAGAATAGAACTGATGATAATCCAGTATTTCTTAGTCAAGTACTTACATCATATCAGGAAACCATGTTGATCTTCGTTGATGTGGAAGTAGATAAAATAACTCGATTTCGGCTAATACCTATAAAGACAATTCATGTTTTTGAATAACAGAACTCGCAACGCAAACGATATTGACGCATAGTTGATTAGTACAATACCTCTGCTTTTTGTGCCAAGTATGACCCGTGCTCATGATACGTATTGATTGCATTACCCAACAAACCAATGAACAGGTTCATTAAATAGATCACAGTAAAAAATGAGAATGCAACCATCATCACTGCCAGTTCAGGATTATCTCTTGCATTCCACCCGTCAAAAGATGACCAGTCACCTATTTGGGCAAATTTAATGAATATAGTTATGTGATAACTGTTAAATGGGAGGCAATCATTTCATCGACAATCATTTCGCCGACAAATATTCACCAACATTATTTCGAATTTATCCTTTTTTGGTAGTTAAGTGTCGGTGAAATTTACTGTAATGATTGTCGATGAAATAATACGGACCCCTGTTAAATAGACCCCATGGTTATCAATCTTACCAGCAAGAAACCTGTATACTCCCAAGAGCGAGGAGCCGAACCACGAGTACATATTAGTATTTGCATCTGGATCCTGAATCAGTGTCGCGCCATCTACAAGTGTACCATTGTTTAACATTTGGCTATAAGTCGGTGTCAGCTGCCACGGATCATTTGGATCTTCTCCGTCTAGTGAGCTTGGTGGCGTGTTAAATGATGAATTCGGCATGGGTCTCAGCAATACGAAAAATGCGTGAGCAAAGCCTACGATCATGATTCCAAGAACCACCAAGAAGGAAAAGACTTGCTGTGCAACCCCAAAGATTATTGCTATGTAAATGCCAAAATATTTGAAAGGCCGAATTAACAGTAAAAATTTCATCCAAAGGAGCAGGATGGAAAATGCTGACATCCATCTTGGCACATCATACCCTTGCAGAAAAAACAAGGAAGTAACAAGAGGGAAACCAAATGCACCGCAATCTACGTATACAAATCGGAACAGGCATTAGAAAAAGTTGAATCGTATAAATATGACTATAATGGTTAAATGATTGCGCATCAACTTACCGATCCAATTCCACGGAGATAAAACATAATATACTGGATTCCAAATGAATTGCCTGACTTCAAAATGAAGATGCCATACTGTAAGTATAGCTGATGCCAAGACTAGGTTTCTTTTTGTGGGTTTATCAACTAGGGCGGACTCGCCATCTGTCATCGTAGCTGCAAAGCATACAAACAACGCTATGAACTGTATCCAGATAAATATGTAGTAATACAAGCCAAATGTTTGCCATTTGAAATTTATCAATGCTTCTCCATCCCACGTTCTAAACAAGTCGCGATTATCGCTCACGGTGCTTGTTACGAACGGGCTTGATGCTGGGAAGAGGAAATCTTTCAAGAACGAGTAATTTGGTGGGTATGCGCAGAATCTTGGTAACCCAACCACAAGCGTTAGAGTGGAACGTCTCTTAACGCGTATTACACTGTACGTAATAGGGATTAAAATTCTATACATAAATGTTATTAGCGTATTACGAATGTATATAAAAGCATAGAGCCCTGCATATCGTAACCATATAATTGTCAGTGAGATATTGCTCTGGAGCGGAGAGACTAACTGCTGCACATTGAACAACAGATCTAAATATGTGGATGTCACTTCCGGTACTTGTGAGGTATCCAGATAACTGAAATCGTCTGGTCTTCCAAACCTGCGTGAAAATGCGTATAGATGGCGAGCAGGTAACTTTAATCGATTTATGGAATGACAACGCGGTTCCAGAATCAAGCGTATCTTTGAAAAATAGAATGCTGTCTGATCAGGATAGTACTCGCACAGCTTTGGTAGAGATGCAGTAATTATCTGCAACAATCCAATGTACATAATTGAGTTCTTGCAAAAGAGATCAATACAAGTCCTGACTATAGTTTCAACAATAACATCATCGTGCTGTTTAATTGCCTCTGGGAGTAATATATAACCGTACTTGGCCAGGTTTTCTTCACTTGTCAGCATTCGGATAAGGTTGTTAAAAATACGAATTCGTTGCATGGAACTATCTTCCATGGCATTCTGCTTATGCCACCAAATACTTTTGAAGCTTGGTGATGGCAGCGGTCCGCTAGCGTGTTCGTATTTTTCAAAAAGCAGATCCCACCATATCGCGCCTTCTTTCCTTTCCAAGGCATTGATCAAGCTCAATTGGGAAAATTTGGGCCTATAGGCAGGCCATCTGTCATCATCCCAGTAGTAACTTATTTCTATTGTATCATTAATACCATCGAGAAAGAATATACACAGACATCTATTAGTGAGTACCAGCAACTCATCATTGTCCAAAATGGTCGAGTTTTTTACCCATCCAAAGTATTCAAACTTTTGAGCGGTAATCGAACAGACGAAACACGAGTCTTTGTAAACACGAAGCCCAGTTCTTCGGCTGATGGTCCATTGAAGAAATCTTCCATTTAGATTATGTGTATCTGATAAATTGTCAGAGTGAATAGTTACGAGATCTCTAATGAGAGTAGCTTTCAATGGAGCATTAAATAAATTGTTTCGATAATTTTCAATATGTTTAGTTAATATATGTAAGACAGTTGGGATACCATCTATCGAAGTTAATATTATTCCTCTGCTAAGCGTAAAGGTAAGACCAGGCAACCACTCTGTAAGCTTGCTGTATTCTTGAAGATTGAATGTGTCCAATGGCTCACCAATGTCTCCAGAAGGAGAATTCCATTTCAGACCGTGTGGGTTCCATAACATAGCCTTTCCCATTTTTGTTATTGTCGCCAACAATATACAAGACGATGACTCTATAAACTCCATTGCAACAATGCAGTCGTCAGCGTCATTGACAATTTGCACTGTCGCCATTGGAAGTGCTGTTTGCACCCAATACACTGTCAGCTTCTGAGAATCATCGTCTTGCGTTATTAACGCGGATAAGGTTGAATTAGAATCTATTGCAATAATGTAATTCTCTTCGTTGTGTCTTCTTTCCTGTAGAGAAGCAGCATTATCGAGGTAATATTCCATCTCCATCTTTCCGCTACCGAGATCCCATTGTGTCAAGTGGTCATCATACGCACATATTAGCTTTCTGTTGATAATCGAATATTGAACTCGCCTGCGACGAGTCCGCCTGTCGACAGCTTCTTCCGTCTCAGATGACCATTCAAACGATGTTGCGTTGTCTTTCCATTGATCGCCTTCCGAGCAGTATCGATGAATCCCAAGGTCATTGACAACAACGAATTCACCAGATGGGAGGAAAGTGTAGCAGAATGCAAAGCTGGTCCTCAAAGTAGTTAAATCGGGCTCAAGTTGCGGTTGTTGCTTGTCTGAGACAAATGAATAGACAACTAATCACCCAGCAAGTTAGATATTATATTGCAATAAAAGCAGTCTTGTGCTATAAGACATTGACTAACGCAACAGATAAACAATTTACCGTGACCAGATGCCAGATACCCATAATCGGAAATGGCAAAGCCTTGATAATTAGTACTAGAATTCACATTTACTTCTGAGACCGGCTCAAGTCCATTCTTCGACATCATCCATACACTTATCGAATCTTTTCCATCATCAAATAAAGCAACATAACTTCCAGACGGGGAAACTGCAATAGGACTGGTTTTTCGCTTATTCGGAACAATGGTAGTTACGGGGATATCAATAGTCACACTTGCGGTAGGCGAGTAAGCGCTATTGATTGAGATGCGTTTGAGGTCTTCGCCTTTCTCTAGGCTTGACATTCTAATCAAAAATGATTAAGCGTGGAGTATCCATCTACAGGGTGAGAATACAAATTTGTGAAAACGTAATTAAATCGGGTAACATATAGATGCTGTGCCACTGACGACCCTCTGATCCACTAACAGGCACAGAAACTATGCATATTTTAGGATACAGTTCATAATTAATTAAGCTGACTTGGCAGGCAGTGAATCCCTTTCTTTCCGGATTTGGATAACCCCTTATTACTGATAATGCAAAACACGTGGTGCAAACGCCAAGCTTTAAAAACGGTTGCACAGTCAACCTAACAGCATTTCTTTGGGACATCAATAACAGATACTATGGATAGGTTCTCGTGCTAACATAACATACTAACAGATTCACTATTTGGTAAGCAGAAACCATTCTCTATGCATGTTCTTTTATAACGAGTACGTAAACCTATTTGTATAAATTATCAGTTTCATCGCCTAATTTATATCAAAAAGGCAAAAAAAAAGTCATACAGAATTAAAGTTATTCATTGAGAGTCGAATGATAGGCATTCTTTCTTTGTGCAATATTGCTTACATAGGCACATACTGTATCTACCACATCAAAGTGAATGATAATAGTTCACAAATTCAATAGAAAAGCCATGTTCTGGCCTAATTTATCGGGTGTGCAGAACGTACACTGCTAACATTGAACAACATAGTTATGTGGACTCCATCAAGCAATGCCCGGTTAACTCCCTAGTTTATCCTGTAGCAGGTTTCTAGAGGTCTATAGTTAACTTTTTAATATTTAATTATAACTATGTAATATGTTTCAGCTTTTATTAGTGCAGTACACCTTTAGCGTTCAATCGTAGGTGTAACTAATAAAAGGACATAAAACTTCAAGTAATTGCCGGAGAAAAATCCCCCGGGCACCCTATTAATCCGAAGCCCACATTTATCGCACCTAAACTCTTTATTTCCACCCAAATTTCTCACAATACACAATCGCTGCATGGTTTGCTTGTATTAGTATAGGCTTCCGACACCGATGTTATAACAATCTTGTCAAATTCCTCCATCTTAGATACCAATTATTTCCGAAATCTAGCATGGGCCCAACTCATCATCTTTTCGAGCTATTCTATTGTTAAGTCTTCTTCCCCATCGGCGACGTGACATCTGTGTACATTAAATGTTGGCAATATTATTACATCAAAAGTACGAGCCAACCACGATGCAACTTTTTTATGTACTTCATCTATAAATTCTGAATGTGTTTTCTTAATATTAAACGAACTCCTAACCAATTATTAAATAATTATATAAGAATTAAAATTTTTTCCCAGTTCCGTAGAACTCGTCATAACAAGTAATTATTTCGCTGTTATTCCATCTTTAGGTCGATTACCAAATTTGGATCAATGCATTGCATGAGATTAGAAACGTGACATTTTAGCGTTAGTGTCACGGATTTAAAGAATTTTTTTGTGTTATTGTTATAGTCAAAACAAAATTATTGAATAATTATTGTAATTGTTAGAACCGATCGGCCAGGACAAAAATAATAATAATTTGTTGGGAACGTCATTAAGCTACATAACAAATAATATTGACAAGTTTATTAAATAGTAAGGACAATGTAATTCGTAAGCACGGCGTAAATGCTCACAATGTTTGGACATCTTTTCTTATTTCTTGTTACCAACAGTTTTGTGGATTTATCGGAATTTTTTAATAAGTATCTGCTTATTTTATAAACCTTTTTATCTTTAACAACATGAAAAATAATTAATTAAATAATAATTAAACAAGTAATATTAATTTGACAAGAATAAGTGTATTAGTATGACAATGCTCTTTACGTTTATATCGCACTGCTATACAAAGTTGATTTCAACGCGCTTGTGTCTAATTCTTGTCAGCTTTTTTAAGTTCAACATTGCTACATATAGTTATTGGAGGTTTCAATTAAAAATTCACCATTTTGGACCTTTATATCTCTTGTGCTTATCTTTCTTAAATTTAATACCACTATCAAATAATATTATTTCATAAAGTCATATTCATTGCAATTAGACCAGCTTGCTGCAAGTCTCTACAGGTTGGCTCAATGATGATAATCTTTCGGACAAGGTAGAGCCAAGCTCAACAATCACGATCTACCCATTTGTTGACATCAACTTTCACGGAATCACCCAATTTTGTCTAATCGTAAGGTTGCCGTGCTGTGTTATCGAACGTTATGACACAAGCAAAGAATTAGCTACATCTGCTTTATATTTACTTGTAGTTGTCGACTGAAAAGCGGTATAGTAAAAATTTAGTAATAGTTGCAACGATTATTTAATTTTATAGATGCATTATTAATAGACAATACAGTGAGCTGGAGGACAGGCTTTCACAAGCTCACTTTCGATGATCATTCATTGGACACAATGCATAGTATATAAATTTTTTCTATTAGACACAGCATCTGCTGTATGTTTCGGTAAATGCGCATGAAAAAAAGAAAAGAACTTGGACACACCCCAAAATGTAAACCAATATTTTTATGACTAATTTTAATGCTTCCTTGTACTTGGGGCTATTGTGATTGTTGAACCCCAATTCGCTGCGGTGTTGTATTCGGTTTCCGTATCAATTTCCCACAAGAACTTTTAAAGTTGGTAAAATACGCTAACAATCGGTTCATTTAATGTGACGATCGACATATTGAACGTCATTGGTCGAAAAAATTACGTGGTACAAAACCTTTTCCGAAATATTTTTTGGACAAGAGAATTCTTTACATAATAATAACTTCAATAACTTCGGCGTTCAAGATTCGTTGAGAGTTTTTTCCACCAAAGCCAATCCTTGCTATATCAAGTTTCCTAAAACAAAAATGGTGTGTTGATGCCAAGCTTTAGTTCAAATTTCTACACCCGTCTTACCCCATCCTTTGACATAGATTCGAAGACAAACCCGCCTTCGCCGCGAATATCTTTATCGTAAATCACTCGAAACAAACGAGCGACAAATATATGAAAGAAAGCAAAAAATTAAAGAAGCGATAAGAGGTCTATTACATTTCGTCGAACACGCTTAATTTGTAAATGATGCTAATGTCTCTGTTGGTATACAGTTTGCTTGATCAATTATTAACAAACCTACATAATAATAGAAGGGAAACCTATTCCTACTGAACTAAGGAATGATGCCGCACAGTTACAAAAGGAACTACATTTTGATGAAGCACAAACAGGTTGAGATTTGATCGATAAATGTCTGCTTTGCGTTATGCTTTGCGTTATGACACTGGATTTCTTACTTATTCTACTACTTGTAGAGCCATCTACTCACATTGATGACGAATATGCACGCGCCGGAATCTACGATCCTAAGGTTTTGATTACTACTTCACGAGATCCCAGTAGTAGGCTTCAACAATTTGCAAAGGTTAGAATATGCTCATTTTTCAATTTTATGATGCATTAACGAACTTGCTTAACAAACGTAATCATCTTCGGATCACTTGAAAACTAGGAAGTGAGATTTATTTTCCCAAATTCGCAAAGAATAAATCGTGGTAATTACATATTAAAGGATATCGTGGATGCATGCAAATCCAACGATGTCACCGACTTGATCATTCTTCACGAACATCGTGGTGAACCAGGTAGACATTATATTGTATATCGCATATATCGCATATTAGCATCAATTGGATATTGAACTAACTACACTGCTTTTAAAAAGTTGGAATGATCGTCTGTCATTTTCCTTATGGACCGACAGCCTTTTTCAGTTTACATAATGTTGTGTTGAGACACGACATCAGAGACCAAGGCACAGTCTCAGAAGCCTATCCTCATCTCGTATTTCATAATTTTAACACCAAATTAGGAAACAGGGTAAATTGTTCATTCTGTTATCTGTCAATTAATTGGCTCAATTTTCTGATGATTGCATTCATTCAATTGTAGGTAATGAGTGTACTGAAATATCTATTTCCAGTGCCAAGGGAAGACAGCAAACGCGTTATGACGTTTGCCAATGAAAATGATTACATATCATTCAGGTGACCTTCAGACAGTGGAGAGCAAGAAAAGTTGGTGGATTTGTAACATTTATGAAACTCACAAGCATTATCTCGTTTATATTTTATCAGACATCATGTATTCATCAAGACAAGTCATAAAAACGTTCAATTGGCTGAGGTTGGTCCTCGATTTGAAATGAGACGTAAGTTATCTAGTTACTATTATCAACTGTTTACAACATATCATCCATATTCTGATCGTTATCGCTTGACCATGGCCAAACAACCATAACTAGTATACGAGATTAAGCTTGGCACAGTCGATCTCAAAGTAGCAGATACAGAATGGGTACTGCGTCCATATCAACGCACAGCAAAGAAACGGGACCACCTATAAACCAATACCAAACAATTAGCAGTAAAAATAAATGTCTGTGAACAAACATGTGAACGACAGCTTAGTCAATGTTTTCTGACCAAAAGTAGACTTAAAATAAATTTTAATAATTACGTATTTCTAAATATCACGAGCAAGCTTGTCACACTCGAGAACTCTTACAAAAGTCAAATAAGGAAACAGGTAAGCAAACACATATTATAAATTACTAATTGTAAACTAAGCGGCATGCCAAATACTATATTTACTTGATAATAAACTCAACAATGCATATACACAGATAATGTTCTTACTTGCTCGTGATTCAAAATAATGGTTTCGGTAACACACAACCAATCAATACGTAAACAGTCGCTCAACTCGTCTTAATAGTAAATACTGTCAAATGAAAGCCATATTAGAATCTTGCAATGCCGACTAAGAAGCATTCGACAAAAATCCAAATATTCACGCTCCCATCTGCTGTTTTCAGTCTCTGACGCTTAACTTTCTCTTGACAACTAATAAAAATCATAAAACTACAACGTAATATCCCACTCTTCCTTTCTAGTCAATTATTTCTTCATGTCTACTCCAGCTACAAACTCTACATCCCGTCATCTAACTACCACTACCACAAACTCGAGAACTCTTTCCAAAACGACCGAACCGGGGAATTCTGCCAACTCCTCAATACAACAGCCTCCTCCGTCACCTCGTGCGCATTCCAAATCAATACTCACGATAGCGCTACAGAAGGCTCAGTCTGCTGTGCTATTAGACTCTGCCAATAATGTAGCCGCTGCGTTAGCCGCATACAAGCAGACCGTAAGGCTGTTATCGCAAGTAATAGACAAGGCTGCTAATGAAGCTGATCGCCAAAGGTTACAGAATATTGTGAGTTATTCCTGTCTTGACATTATTTTATGATAGTTTGATTACTCTCTATGCGCATTGAGTCGTTATTTCCAATCGTAAGATCGATTTGGGTATATATAGAAATTGTTACGAGTGAATTGACGCTTATTGGGTGTTGGGCGTTAGAGGCGCAAAGTGAATGATAAAAGATTGCATATATATGATCATTTTATAACTAGTGTTTCGAACAATCAATTAACGTCTTGTTCGGTTGACCTTTTATTCCAGCACGACACATATGCCGAACGAATCAAACTACTCTCAACTATTGTCCCTCCCGCTAATGAAGACGTAATTAACTCGGAGAATGGTCCAAACAGCGATACACGCAATAGTAATCATACTAGGCAACGGAGTGCTAGCTGCACAGAACCAGGAACTAGTCCACAGCCAGTGATTAATTCTAGAACAGTGGACAAGCGCAAAAATAATCCTTCTGATCATAAAAAGCAGATCGATGTTCTGGACAAGGCAACTCAGAAGAAGGCAAAAGTACTCCAACATACTAATTCAAGCCAAATAGATGATCCAAGTCATGTTGATGTAACGAACGTTAACGGTATTACGTTTAATGCGAATGATCCAGAATCTATACAAAAGACAAGACCAACAAGAAAAAAATCAACGTCTTCAATATCAACGACAAGATCGTGGAACTCGAGAAAATCGTTCATGTCGGATAAGACAACTCCCCCTCATTCAGATTACGAATCAGCTGCAGAAAGACCAAAATCACCTGCAGAATCTACAGAAGGAAACGAATCGTCAATGAGTCTATCTGATATTGGGTCGGGATCGGAAGATCAGTACGATGTATATGGGCAGCTTATCAGGGATGAAGAAATTATTATAAAGCATGTAAAAAGCAAGAGTGATCCAACAAGGATCGATACGAATTCAAATGGCAATTCAATGTCATACAAACAACAATTATATCAGTCGATAATTTCTGGCGAACAGAAGCGTTCTTCATCAATAAACTCTCCGCGTATTCTAATTCCACCACCCCCAAAGGGAGATCCACCAAAACCCACACAACTTAAAACGCTTCAACCTGAAACTGTTTATGTAAAACCCAAGGTCTCTAGTCCAACGTTTCTGCCTCCTGACCCACCATCAGTTCCGCCGCCGCCAGGGGGGGAGACATTAGAGAAAAAATCACCCTCAGCCAGAGCTAGTCCCTCACCAAAACCATTACCGATTTCATCCAAGTCAGAACCCAACCTATTAGCAAGCCAGCATCAAGACTCGAATGGCGATGTTTTTAGTCCCCCGTTACCAACCAAAACACGTTCGAAAGCATCCCCTACAAATGTAGTCATAAATAAAGTGTTTAGTAAAGAGTCACCTGCAAGCCGACGGCCAGGACCCCTTCCCTTGACGCAAGAAAAACAAATCAACTCTCGCATAGTACTTACTCGTGTAGCATCGAGCCAAGATACTACAACCCCATCGAGTCCTGGTCCGCCCAGACGATCGGCCTCAAATCCTGGTCAATCGCGAAAAGGCAGTAATGGCTTGCGGTTTAATCCACATTTATCGACTCTGCCCGGATCTCCAACTGTAGCATCGAATTCGCCAACTTCGCCGTGGGTCTCGGGTTTTAATGTGCAGTCGCCGGCGCTTTCTAGTCCAATGTTTAGTCCGGGACTGAATAGGTCAGACTCCGCAAGAGTATACGATGCAAGTTATTCATCGTTGTATTCTGAGGACTCGGGTATTCATATGGCGGGGCAGAATGCACCACCAGAATCACCGCCGGATGATGTACATATGAGGCCATTTTGGTTGATGCGGCTGTTGGGGCGTACAATGGCGAGTGGAGGATATTTAACCGAGAAGCTGTATGTTCCTAATCGTGTTTGGGCTCAAGCAACTGTCAAGTTTTCCGCTATAGAAGCAAAAGTTTCTAGTTGTGACATTATATATAACTGTTTGTTGAGGCTGGAAAAGATTCCTGTTCACGATATGGATGGTCTTGTCAAGGTTAGTTGGGCGGATGTTGAGGAAGGTGTATAAAAGAGGGAAACTTGTGTGAGATAGCGCTTGCTGTTGTTGGTGACATGGTCAACTTTATGAACTGTCCTGTGATACTTGAATTACGCTAAACTTGAACATTTTTTGTAGGAATTGGACTCTATCGATTCTACCATTGAAACTATCCAAAATACTCTGGCTCGTAAGCTCAGTTATGTAGAATCGACAAATGGAAAGAGTCGCCAGAGTACTAACTCTATTATGAACTGGGGCAACAAAATAAGTCAGCGACTTGATCGAATGTCTGACAAACGCAGCGAGACTAATACATATGTAGAAATTTTATTGAAAGTATTTGCTAATGCTAAAGTTGTGGGTGAGTATAGGTTACATTTTGAGATACTTCGTCTTGAATTATTGTAGAATGTTTGATTACTTATTTTACAAATTAACCGTTTGTAGAAACCTACATTACCCACTTCTCCTCATTCAAAGCACCCTATCATCACCATCACACACACATTGTAACTCGTTTATACAAGATAGCCGACTTTTTTGGAAATGTTATATGTCGATTTGTAGTAAAAGATCTCGGGATACTCATAGATAAATACGTTAAAAGAGGAGGGCACTGGTTAGCAGACTAAATTACTAATACAAAGTAATATATGTGTGTGTGTGTTTTCTAATTAATCTTTTGACTATTTCCCCGGTTTATTTCTATTCACATAATAGAGATTACGATGGTTGTATGGTTTGTTAGAACTGTTTTGAGAGTGTCTCATTTGTATTATTATATTTATTCTTTCTATATATTTCACACGCACACACCTATATATCTCTATACATATATATATATTCTTATTGAGAATACAGCTGTATCATATTTCCTACGATACATTTGAATAACCCTTTTATAGGGGCATGACATGTTAAAAAAAAGCGAAAGCGCCCGTCTATCAGAATAAATTGTAGAAATATTTCATAATCCTACATTTGACACGTCGATTGTCACTTGTTTGCGTCAACAACTTTCAACACTGTGCTTGCCCCATAATGATCTTTTTTGGAGAAAGTGTCAATGTAGTCAATAATCGGCTAAAGCGACGCAACGACATCCTCTCGGTACTCACCAGACAGCTGTGTGAACGGATAATCTCCCTTTACGAAAAATTCCTCGATTTTTGTCCTGTCGATATCATACACAAAATGCGCTTCACCTGTTACATCCCCCTTGGACTTTTCATCAATTGATAGGATATAATCCAAGCTCGCCATAGCACAATAGTCATGTTTAGCAGCAAGCACCGTTTCTCTCGGTTGTAAATGTCCATTTTCGTCCACCATAATGTCACCAAAAGTAACCGGATGATTATAATAACTTTCCTTTAACAAATCTCTTATATCAACGGTCGAATCGACAAATCTCATATGCTCAGTAGCATCATCAGGTAAACCTGGATCTATCAACTTTGCATCTATACCCTCACCACGCAATATTTTCATCATCAGCTTGTACTCGGCGCTATCACCCGTCGCACTTGCGGGGTTTGCTGGATCGTAAGGAGGCCGACCGTTTACATTCAGATCACCTACAACAATAATAGCCTCGTTTGGCTTACGCATGGATTTGTGTTTGTTAATGAATTTACGTAACGTTGCTAATTGTTGGTATCGAATTATAGCTGATGGTTCCGTCACGGGAGGTGAGCTCATGTATGATGCTTGAGTATGAGTAATAAAGAGATGTATAGCGTGCATCGGGGTCACTTCGATACGAGCGTACAGTGCCCCTTTATCGGAGAATCTATGGTCGTGTTGCGATGACTACGTTTGTTAGGGTCCCAGAGTGATACCCTGGGTTAAAAACAAAAAAGATTTTCCTGTGCATATCGTACCTATCGCTGTAAACGCCGACGGGATACACAATAAAGTCCCTATTTCTAATAGGAAACCTGCTAAGTATAATTAAACCTCCGTCAATGGAACCACTCAGGAGCCGCTTTGCCGGAGAGGCCCAAGAATAATTAAATCCTGCCTTGAATGCAGCTTCCAACAGTCGCGCGCGTCTGCTACTGCCAAAAGCAAACATTTCCTGTAAACATATTATGTCGTATTTGTGCAAGCAATGCTTTATAAAGTATGCAAGTCTCGCTTCTTTGTGGTCGCTGGCATTGTTCTTTACGAGAGGCGGGCGCATGAAAAAATTAAAAGTCAGTAAACGGACTTCCATGACTACGAACGGTAAAGAGGGAGAGGAGGGAGTACCCCAATGGTGAACGAGTTGTGCAAAGGATGCTGCAAGTCTATGTACTTGGGTAATACAATTATGTAAATTTTAGGCTACGGTTTTTCGAGTGTAACATACTTTTAATATTCTGCATTTTAATATGCAGAGAGGACAAAGAAATGGATAATTATAATTTGGAGTGTAGCGGTTAGAATTTTTTGGTGCACATTAAAAGCGGAATTCCAAACCTGGTTTTATTATATCGCCGATTTTATAAACAACGTGCATCCCATAAATAATCAATAAAAAAGATTGTCTATTTTCGAACGCCAGGTTTAGAAATCGCAACTTTCTTCAAATGTGTGAACGAGACACCCCCAACCGATGACACTTTTACAAAATGAACAGTTTATTTATACAGCAATTACACACATTTTAATTTTTACAATCTGTCGTATTGGCAACAGAGGGGATCAATAAGCGAATAACAATGAATAAAAGGCTAACCACCATACCACCAATATATCCAATTCCATCGTTTTGGAAACCGACCAATAATCCTGCTGTTACGATCACTAGGGTAAAATTCTTCTTTTTCGCCTCATCATCGTCATCATCATCACCAGAGACCATGAAATTTCGTGCCGCACAGGCTAATTCTGCTCCAGAAACAAAGAGCATTACCCCGAGAAGTGAATTAGGGAAGAACCCTAGAAGATTGGTTAAAGTCTTTCCAAACAAAATTCCCAGGATCATTTTGAACAATCCAAGAACCAAAACACTGACTTCGGATCTTGCGCCGAAGCGGTATTGACCAGCTAGTCCACCCGATCCATGACAATATGGAATAGATCCGAAAAAACATCCAATAATGTTCATAAGACCGACAGAGACTGAGATTTTTTCGACATAATTCAATGAGGACCGTTCCGGGAACAAATCATGAGCCAACGCCGCCAATGCGATAACAGAATTGAGAGCTGTCAGTGGAAGTTGTCCAAGAGATGCACTAAGAAATCCAGTTTTAAATTCTTCTAGAGTTGGAACCACAGTCGAGGGATAGTTAAATGAGACTGATGGTGGTGTCATGCCAGATTTGAAGACCTTTACCAAGGCGATTGTTAGCCCCAAAATGAACAGTATTAATGCAGTTGGTATTCTTTTAGATGAATAGAATACAAACACGAATATGAAGGCTAGAAGAGCCCATTCATAATTATCATTCCATTTCCAAAAAGTACCACCCCAACTACCGTTTTTTCGAACCATATCAGCAGCTTTTATGATCAGCGTTATGCCCGCTCCCAGCTGGATACCTCTGATTATTGGAATGGGGGTCAACTTCTCAATGACCTTGATAGTTCTAGTGATGCCGAGAGCGAATATCATAAATCCAACGCCAAGGCCTGCCGACATGACTTCACCAATTGATAAATGTGCCGAAAGTGCCACCGCTGCAACAGCTGTAAAATAGATATTATTGTTAATATTTTAAAACATATGGAAGAAAAAAAATACTAAATATGTTCATTACCTTTCATAGGTTGAACACACATGGGTATTCGAAACATCAAACCGCTAGTGATGTTCCATAGACCCCCGAATATAAGCGATGCTGTCAAAGAAACTTGACCGGTAATTGAAAGAGCTACTAAGATTGGGAGTAATGTACCGAGATCGCCTAGACTACCACTTAATTCCGATAGGGAGGCATTCTTCTTTATATCCAAGGCTCTTTCTTTGGCAGATGAACGAATATAATGTGAAGGATTGCGCCAAAAGGAAAGATCGCGGCTCGAATTTGGTGATTCTACAACTTCGATGATTTCATGAGTAGCCATGTTTTAAATCTCGTTAAAAAAATATATAATAACAATAATTGCTGTCATTTTATCTCATCGTTATCAAGACTTTTTTCCCGATCACTGCCGTCCGTGTGACGATTCACGGTATACACAGTCTCGGGTTATGATAAATTCTGTCTGTAACTAAAATACAGTGTTATCTCCATTTCTGGCAGCGCTGATTCGCAGCCCAGTTATAGCATATAAACTTGCGATTAGACAGATTATCTTCCCAAGTCAAGATCGTGTACAATCCAACAAAAAGAAGACGTTTCTTCTGTGCCACACCAGAATTCGTACAGTTTGCGAAGAACCATCCCTAATATTGTACATCCCAGTAATATCTGATTACCTATAATAAACGATTTTCCAACAACAGAGACCTACTCCTTCATGTTCCTAAGGTCTGAGCATCGCTCCCACATGGAATCTACGTAAAGCAAATTCTCTACTTCTCCCACACAATCTCAAAAAGTAGTTTATTTGTTTGTAAACAAAGCAACCTTTTTTTGCAAGAAATCGTCGCTGTACAAGATTGTCTATAATGATAACTGCTGTCTTATCGTTATCAAGACTTTTTTCCCGATCACTGCTGTCTGTGTGACGGTTCACTGTATACACAGTCTCTCGAGTTATGATAAATTCTGTCTGTAACTAAAATACGTCGAGTGTTATCTCCATACACTGAATTTTCTGGCAGCGCTGAGCATGCATATTTTTATTATTGCAACAGCCCATATCAATAAATACGTGCGTATCAATGTAAACTTGCGATTAGTGACAGAGACTAGGAAATTACAGATTATCTTTCCAAGTCAAGATGGTGTACAATAAGACGTTTCTTCTGTGCCACAGCAGATTCGTACAGTTTGCGAAGAACCATCCCTAATATTGTACACCCAGTAATATCTGATTACCTATAATAAACGATTTTCCAACAACAGAGACCTACTCCTTCATGTTCCTAAGGTCTGAGCATCGCTCCCACATGGAATCTACGTAAAGCAAATTCTCTACTTCCCCCACACAATCTCAAAAAGTAGTTTATTTGTTTGTAAACAAAACAGGCCTTTTTTGCAAGAGATCGTCGCCGCACAAGATCGTCTGTCAAAGGATCGCCGCCAACTTAAATTTTTGAATAGATTAATAACAATGTCGTTGCATATACACTCACTACCAAAAAGTATTTACTGGATCTGCCATTCATACTATGTAAGTCGCGAGTAAAGTAGGAGATGAAAATGGGTTACGCTTGAAAACTGTATGAAACCATCGTGTAACATAGATTATACTGTATTCAAATTTCACTGTAACTGTAATCACAGTCTAGATTTAACTACAGAAGAAACAGCTCCCTAACCACCGAAGAGTGCTGGTTGTTATTGCTCTTTTCAAAATTCTTGAGTCACACAAATTTTGGTCACAACTTTTGCTTATACGTGAAAAACACTGTGAAAACTTCTATGCGCCCGCGATTATTAAGCCTTTCTGAAGAGTAGAAGACACCTACTTAATACAACTTTATCACTTTACTTGGCACAAGGCAAGAAAAGAAAGCTTGTTGAGTGGGCACACCAGCGATTACAACCGGTTACAAGACGATTATGAGATTACAACTGGTTTTGAAACAATTGTAGAATAGTATACCTGCATGAAGATAAAAAGTCTCTTACATGTTTCTCGGTCTACTGTCGGAAGGGTCCTGAGAATGTGTAGGAAGTGAGTGTGTGTCTACAATCCCTAAAGGAAAAAGAAAATTGCTTGATGGAAGTTGTAACATTGGCTTCCGATCAGACATTATTATAATGATTTTTCCTTAAAGGTTCTCAAATATTTTGGTCGAACAGAAAGCGGACTGGTATTAGGCAAGTTGGTTTCTGAGATGAGAAGACTTACTGGGAAGATTATCTCCATAGCGCGCTATGTATTTGTGAGTATTAATGCTATTACTATTCCTAATTTCTGAAGCGTCACACAGGATCTGCCGATCGGCACGTAACACTAATACTAAAAAAGATCTACGATGTAGGTAACTTGGTAATATTATTTAACTACCTGCCAGGTCGCACAACCCGACATCCATAATATTTCTATTTATGGATGGCAGGTAAATGACATATGAAAACATCGGACGACATCAAAACAATAGAAAGTGCCGAAGGACAATAGTAATAGCAAATCCTAATAGATAGATAATAATAAGATAATTAATAACGTTGCTAAAAATATATCAGCGTGGATTTCAGTGTCCATCAGTCCGTCCATTGATAATGCTCCAATAACTTTCGATTCCTTTATTGTAAATATTTCTAAATGAATCTTTATACTCTGTTAATAATTCAATCCCTGGTAAATTATCGATATATCATAAATTCGCTAATCTCTATATTAATATCGAAGGATAATTGTCTCTTGTCCCACAATTATCCGAGTGGCATATTTTACGATGATTTAATTGTTTACGGAGTAATATATTAGTTTTGAGGACAGTCGTGCATTTGACTCGAGGACAATTACGTTGTCTCGGATTAGCGCACACTTAACAACGCTGAGGTTTTCGTAAGTGAAAGCCTTGAGATTACAAGGTCACTAACTGTAAAGTAGATTTCACTATTGATAGGAGAAGCCACGCTCCGCCGACAATAGCTAAATCCCAAGTGTCGATTACTAATCGTTCTCCCGCAGTAATCGGCACGACATATTCTTGTCTTTGTCTTTTAAGTAACTAATCTGTGTTTTGTGTGTAGGTTTATTGAGCGTATGTGACAAGGGATAGCATCTTTTTGAGTTTTTTCTCATTCTTGTTCTTTTCCGTAATTTCTAATCTAAGCTTTAATAATTCATTTTAATACTTTCCAATCCCTTTTGAATAGATCGACATTTAGCAAGGTCGCGTTGAATGATTCGATCATAAGTACAAAAAGTTCATTAGTCACTGATACTCTTTCAACTTTACTTTCTTTTTTGTCTAGCAGGAAATTTCATGCGGTTAAAGGGTTTCACCACAAGGCATTGATTTGCGTAGTAGTATGTCTCAGTATCAAATGGTAAAAACATATCTTTAAGAAAGAGGCATCTTTTCAGCGAGAGATGCATTTTCAGAGAGAGAAGTATTATCTGTGAGAGCTGTCGGTTGTTGATACAGATTGTGACACCTGCTGCAAAGGTTGATGTTGAAACCGTTAGACAAGTCACTTCGGTACTTAAATTTCTGATTCGCGTTTTTTAGAAGGTCTAATTGTGAAGGTCGAATGTTGGGTCTTTCTTATTGTTGGCTTTTGTGTTTTTGGACAATGACACGTAAACGAAAAATTGTCAATACCACAAGAGAGACAAACTTTACACGTATAATATATTAATATGCTAAGACCATAAGACGTATCCATTCTCTTTGCATAACGTTTACTGCAAATATCGTCTCAGGAATCTTTATATTCAGTTGTAACACGTGTCATACCGTTAGCTAATCTATTGGTTGACAGTGTTTTCGTCGAATTTTTTTGATGGTGATCCTACCATTTTGAAAAGAGGATACTGCGCATTTTTCCTTGCGTAAGTAACACTAACATTAATAAACTTCACGTATTCAACAATAATTATCAAAATTTTCATCCAATATACGCTAAAAAATGGTTTCCACTATATATAGCGATAGTACGAGTTCGTTTATATTCGGTTATACAAGAATGAAAACAGGGGATCAACGTGTTCACAGAGTACAATATAAGCTTGCTAATTGGTATCATAATGGAACTGGAGTAGAAAAAGATGAACAGAAGGCAGTTGAATGGTATGAGAAAGCAGCTAAACATGGATATGCCAAAGCACAACATAAGCTTGGTGTATGTTATTCTTATGGAACTGGAGTAGAAAAAGATGAACAGAAGGCAGTTGAATGGTATGAGAAAGCAGCTAAACATGGATATGTCAGTGCTCAATATAATCTTGGTGTATGTTATGGCAATGGAATTGGAGTAGAAAAAGATGAACAGAAGGCAGTTGAATGGTATAAAAAAGCAGCTGAACAAGGACATGCCAGTGCTCAAAATAATCTTGCTGTATGCTATGAAACTGGAACTGGAGTAGAAAAAGATGAACAGAAGGCAGTTGAATGGTATAAAAAAGCAGCTGAACAAGGACATGCCAGTGCTCAAAATAATCTTGCTGTATGCTATGAAACTGGAACTGGAGTAGAAAAAGATGAACAGAAGGCAGTTGAATGGTATAAAAAAGCAGCTGAACAAGGATATGTCAGTGCTCAATATAATCTTGCTGTCTGTTATAAAGATGGAACTGGGGTAGAAAAAGATGAACAGAAGGTAGTTGAATGGTATAAAAAAGCAGCTGAACAAGGAGATGCTGATGTTCAGTATAATCTTGCTGTCTGTTATGAAGATGGAACTGGGGTAGAACAAGATAAACAAAAAGCAGTTAAATGGTATAAAAAAGCAGCTGAACAAGGACATGCCAGTGCTCAAAATAATCTTGCAATATGTTATGAAGATGGAACTGGAGTAGAAAAAGATGAACAAAAAGCAGTTGAATGGTATAAAAAAGCAGCTGAACAAGGACATGCCAGTGCTCAAAATAATCTTGCAATATGTTATAAAGACGGAACTGGAGTAGAAAAAGATAAACAAAAAGCAGTTGAATGGTATAAAAAGGCAGCTGAACAAGGATATGCCAGTGCTCAATATTATCTTGCTGTATGCTATGAAAATGGAACTGGAGTAGAAAAGGATGAACAGAAGGCAGTTGAATGGTATAACAAAGTAGCTGAACAAGGATATGTCAGTGCTCAATATCATCTTGCTGTATGTTATGAAAATGGAACTGGAGTAGAAAAAGATGAACAAAAAGCAGTTGAGTTATATCAGAGTGCAGTAAAACAAGCACACATGTCAGTGCAAGTTGAAAACAGTAGACATTGTAGCAAAATGGCTGGATTAAATTTTGACATTAATTTTGTAACTAACTTCTGTCAATCAAGAGCTAAAGAAGGAAATGTTTATGTACAATATATTCTTGGCCTGTATTATGAAAATGGAATTGGGGTAAAAGCAGACATTCAAAAGGCATTTGAATTATATGAAAAAGCAGCTGAACAGGGATACACTGAAGCACAAAATAAAGTGTGTACTTTTTATGAAAATGGGTCAGAAGTAAAGAAAAGAACAAGGGAGAAGGTTGAGTTGTATAATAATGTTAAAAAAAGGCGCTTAGCATAGAGTATAAGGCATAAAGATAAATTACATTTGTCAACTACAAGCTATTACTATGGAATTTTCTATATCAATATTGATATTAGGAAAAATAATCTTGAAAAGATTTAATTTATCTACATTGAGTATTAGTATTAAATAGCAAGCTTGAGTAAACAATTTATAATAAAGATGTATCAGTTATGTTTTGCATGGAATACTAGTGTTATGTTTGGGAATGTTTGGTGATCTAAATTTAACTCAAAAATTTAGCAGTCTTGCTTTATGCCTTGCCAATTAAGGCGTAGCTCATCCTTAAAGGCGGCCTTTTGTATCCCCTATTGCTAAGGCCTAGACCCACACTCGTATGTTGTGTTAAACTGGTTTCTCCTACTCTTCAAACAGGCTTTGCTATGTGTCGATCGGTAGATACTAATCCACGGTTATTCGTCATCGATTGAATCGATTCTTCTTTTCTAATGGGATAGTTTCGGAAGCCTATAGCGTTGGGATCTAGTCAATAACGGGAGGCAAATACAACATCAACAAGAATTTTATAGACGTTATATTTCGACGACAGCCATTTCGCGACAGGATCGTTTCCCCGACAGTTGATTTAATTTGCCCATTCACGAACTGGTGTAATTTACGTCGTTATTTACTTATTATGGTTTTCATCGGATTAAAACAGTTGCCTTCAAATTAGATCTGTCTTTGTTAAAATAGTGATTAACTGTCACAAGTACATGACATTGAAGTTCTTACTTAATTTCGAGCCAACTTGCATCAATCAATTTTGCATGCATTGAAGATGGAATATCTTTCTATTACCATCAATAATTCAATAGCCTTCAGTTTACACTCTGAATAACATCGAAATATTCGAATAAAAAGGCTTGATTGATAAAACCAGATTCTAAAATGAGATTTGAGCTGGACTGGTAGACAGTGAGATTATGAAATAAATGTCGGTGAATCAACTGTCGATGACTGTCGGCGAAATGGCCGTCGTCGAATATAACGTCTACTAAATGATTGTCGATTTTTATGATACGGACTCATTTAGACGAATTTGAAAATGAATAAATTGTTTTATGAAAGTAAAATATAAATATAATAAACCCTTTTTTAAATTTAGGTAGTGCTTAAAATTGGGCGGTGCTTAAAATTGGGCGGTGCTTAAGATTTGGAATAACATATCGAATAATGTATTGTCTACCAGAAATTTATTTCGATCAGAATTATGCAACACAAAAACTCCCCCATATCAATATATGCTTTTGGGTCGCAGGCTTGCTTTAATACCTACATGTATACAAGATGTTCCGTGTGCCAAAAGAAAATATCTTTTCCTTATACCTTTACCTTCACACCAATTTGGTTGTTCTGCCGGTGCTAATCCGTTTGTCGAGTATCGAATAATAACCAATATTTTAAAAATCGAAGAGCATTAACCTCTATATTCGGCAATAGTCACAACATAACAATCTTTACCGCCTTCATCATTTGATATCTTTTTCCATAAGTAATATAGTGAATAGTGAATAGCCGAATAGTGTACTGCGTTGTAGTAAATAACAAACGGTAGATGGTAAATAGCGAATAGAAAATAGTGAATAGTAATAACGATAACCTGAAGGAGCAAAACGTGAGCACCTTATACTCGAAATGGAATATCACATGTTTCCCATTGCCATCATTTACTGCATGAGCTTACCTTTTTTCACATAGTTTTGATATTCATTCGTTCTTCATGCTCTTCATTTCCTAAAATAATTTCCGCATTAGAACCAACAAATACCCATTTATCGTAATTTTCTGTGCATATTTTTCGGGGGAGTTTATATCATATACTGTACTTGATACTTGATACTTAACTCTTGAAAGAGTGTATTTATTACATTTCCCCCCGTTGTTATTATTATTATTATTATTATTAATTATTTTATTTCCTCATTATATTAGTAATGGTCATAATCTGTCATTTTTTATCAGCGTTGTGTGTGTCACATGTTGAAAGAACGTCGGGAAATAAAAAATTTCCATGAGCAAACCCCATGTTTATATGCTTGCATTTTCACTATATAATTATAAAAAGTATAAATAACAACATATCAACCGCTTTTTTGCCACACACCCCTATAATAAAAAGTTTTGATTCTTTTTCGCATCCTACTTATTGGTTTGAAAAAATGTCTCAAGTTTTTGATATATTTACCGTCGATTCTCTTCAAGCAAATGAAATGATCTACAAAGTTACTCATTCGCCATCGATTCCCATCCTCTTTATCTTTTACTCAACCATCCGAAATACCACTTTCCCAAACTTATAATCCTTCAAATACCACATACTGGCCTTCCGATGAACTGCAAAAAGTTTTGCGCCTACTTTATGAAGAAGATTACTCTCAGATTTCATGCATTCCCTGTTCTTATTGCTCGCGTTATTATACCCGCAATCTGCAAAATGGGTAGTCAGAAATAAAACATGTTCATCCACTCGACTCTAATGCAAGCGAACCCATTACCATTCACTTCGATATCTACATACCAAAAAATAATACTGACTGGTTCGTAGTTGATGACATCCTTGAATTAGCTGGTGCTGTCACAAAACTAGAAGACATGCCGCTACATACAGTACGTATAAATTAGGTTACATTCTTTTAATTAAACGGTCATTTAACATCTATTTATTTCCACTCTACAATCAAACCATTCAAGTATCAAAAGTCTGCAACAAATGTACCCCTTGTTCAAACTTGGTTACGAGCCATTGGCGTAATCAAATCTCCAGCCCAAATACACAATATATTCCCTATCCAAACATCAGATAAGACTAACAGACAAAGGGTTAAAGCCAGGAAAATTTTGTAATGATATATTTGTTAATCGTTCCCTTATCTGCCCGTATAACGTGGCGCAAGCGTGTATTTTTATCATGTGTGCTCCTTCTCAACAAACGAGTTATGATAATTTTGCTTCTCTGAAAAGGTAATTTGTATCTGTGACAATGAACGTAATTTGAGATAATGAGCCCGCGACGATTAGGTAATAGAAATTGAACATGTGGACTTCAGCATTCCAATAAATATATATAACTTTATTACTATATAAAATAAAAGTATTCGCAAGTGACACTTCTTAACAGCCACAAGGGGCGAAGCCCCCTATAAAATTCTAAATCTAGTTATGTATATAACAACTCTTTGACGTAATAATAGTAATATACATAGTAATAATAAAGTTTAGCA